AAAATGTCTTCCTTTCAATGTTTCCTTTATCTTTGGGTAAAGAAAGAAGTCATTGGGGGCCAGATCAGGTGAGTAGGGAGGGTGTTCCAATACAGCTATTTGTTTACTGGCTAAAAACAGTGTCGTGTGAGCTGGTGCATTGTCGTGATGCAAAAGCTATGAATTGTTGGCGAAAAATTCAGGTCTAACTTTTTCATGCAGCCTTTTTAGCACTTCCAAATAGTAAACTCTGTTAACTGTCTAGTTGGTGCAAATTCATAATGAATAATCCCTGTGATATAAAAAAAGTTAGCAACATCGTTGCAACAAGTTTGGGCACTTAATTGTCAGACCTTCGTATTATCTACAGCTTACAAAAGAAGAAGCTGAAGGTCACCAAGTAGAAAGCCGCAGAACCAAGACTGGAACTTAGATCTGTCTCTTAATCACTACAGTCTACCAGGTAAGGTCTTGGAAATATTAAGAGGAACAAGAACAGGCTGGCTTGAGTGAAATCACATACTTGAAGACATCCATGCAAGTTTGCACCAGGAGACGTATAAAAATGTTATGAAACAACCCAAAATGTCCACCAACAATAGAATGGATAGACTGTGATGTTTTTATAAAGTGGGTTCATTCACAGGACATACTCATCCATAAATGCAAATGAATTATAGCCACATGCATCAACATGGATGAATTGCAGAAACATAATATTGATTGAAAAGGCAATAAAGAAGAATACACTTAGTGTGATTCCATTTATGTAAAGCTTAAAAACAGGTAAAGCTAATGGAATATAACAATGTATTGTTTCAGGATAATTTACACTTGGTAAAATTATAAATAAAGCAAGAGAATGATAAATAGAAAATTCAGAATGGAAATTGTTTCTGGGGGGAGGCAGGGAAATGATTGGAAAGGGATGGACAAAGTAGACTTCTCAAGTATTAACCATGTTTTATTTCCTAGGTTAAGTGGTGAGTGTTCACTTTCTTTTCTTGAAACAGTTCATATATATTTTATACACTCATTTGTATGTATGGTAAGTATAGTGGGTTGAATAGTGGCCTTGGAAGAGAGTCCAAGGCTTGATGACTTGATTTCAGACTTCTGGCCTCCAGAACTGTGAGAGAATACATTTTTGTTGTTTTAAGCCACCTAGTTTGTGGTCATTTGTTAGGGCAGCCTTAGGAAACTAATACAACACGTTTCTACAAAAATTAATCATTTAAAAACTGAACTGTAATGTGTGTGTATTATGTGCTGTTGAGTCGACTCTGACTCCTGGTGACGTTATGAATGAGTGTGTCCACAATGTCCTGTCAAAAACCCTGCTCAGCTCCTGATGACTCGTGCCTATGGCTTCTTTTATGGAGTCAATCCACCTCTTATTTGGTCTTCCTTTTTCCCAGCTGCCTTCTATTTTACCCAGCTTTGTTGTATTTTTCAAAGAACCCTGCCTTCTCATGCATGATGTGCCCGGAGCAGGACAGCTTCAGTTTGTCATTTTTGCCTCCAGAGATGTCCCAGGCTTCATTTGCTCTAGGACTTACTTGTTCATCTTTCTGGTGGTCCAATGTCCATAGAGCTCTCCTCCAACACTATATATTTTTATTTATTTATTTATTGTTAGTTTCAGGTGTACAGAACAATGCAATAGTTACCCTTTTCACCCTCACAAAGTAACAACCCCCTC